CACACACACACACACACACACACACACACACGTCGGCTCGGGGTTGCCTCCTTTGCTAACCCTTAGCTAAGTGGTGTCACCATAAATATTTGAACCATTCATGTAATATTGAAGAACGTGGCATATGACAGCTGATGCAGCACAGAATGATCCATATCTCCACGGCAACCTACAGTCTGACCCCCCCCCCCCCCCCCCGGCCTCTGACAGAAACCCACCCTTTACATCCAGTGACCTCCTTAAAATCACTGTGTGTGTGTGAGTTTTATCTTTTAGGCTTGTTGCTCACTGTTTTCACTGAGACAGCTGTGGGTGTGCAAGGTCAGCCAGAGGGTGGGGAGCTGGGTTGGAGAAGCCAGAGTTTTCACTGGCATTCGTTGCGGTTTTGAGATCGTAACACTGAGAGGACTCTGGAAAAGGCACGCAAGGACTTTTAGAGACAAACGCTGGAGCCGGTTCAGTGGCTCCGAGCGAGGAGGAGAAGAAGAACCCGTTTCCTGAGGCACATCAAACGTGAAACAGCTGAAACGGCGTTATCGTTTTTTTTAATGGTGTTTCAGACTTACGAGGGAGTGTCCAAGCAGAGAGATGCATGAAGCAAAATCAAAGAGAGTTGGGAGTGTGTGAGACTAATGAGAAAACTCTCACTGGTGTATGATTTCAGTTAAATAAAGGGGGGGGGGGGGGGGAGGGGGGGGGGGGGGGGGTAGAGGAGGAGAGGGGAGGTGTAGAAGATTCAAGTGTCAGAAAAAGCCAGATCACACAAAGACAGAGGAGGCAGGGAGTGAGAAGGGGAGGAGGGCGGGAGGCAGAGCGGTGACAGATCACCCCCTAGTGGTAACCTAGAGACCAGGAAGTGGGACAGCATGAGAACGAGAGTCTGAGTGTGTGTGTGTGTGTGTGTGTGTGTGTGTGGGACCTGTTTGACAAACTGTTGAGAAGCAGGAACACACCTGAGCTCTTATAGCGCGGCTAAAAATACAGCCGCTGATGTCGCAGTCAAACCCTGTGTGAGGCGTGTCTTCCCCGCCCCCGCAGGTGTCTCATTGACAGAGGTCACACGGACACACACACACACACAATCACCACTTTATGTGCAAATGACAGCAGTAATGTGAGCAACCTTGAACCTGGAGAAAAAGTGCACGTTTAGCGACTTCACTCTCTCCTTTCACTGCTCCTCCCATCCTGTTCGCCTTGTTCCAACTTGTCCTCCATCTCTATTCACCGCACACCTTCCTCTTGAGCCCTACCCTCCTTCCTCCTCCTCCTCCTCTCCCCCACCCAGTATCTCCTTCCTTCATTCATACCTCACCTCTCCTCCTCTGGATCTTTCTCTTCTTCTATCTCTCTTGTGCTGCAGGCTGCAGCAGCCCTTATATGGCAGTGCAGGCTGCCTGCAGAGCTTCTGATTGGGGGGGGGGGGGGNGGGGGGGGGGGGGACTTGCATCGAGTATGTGTGTGTATGTGTGTGTGTTTTTTTGTGGGGAGATAGCTTTAACTGCAATCTAATCGTGAGTTCAGATCACAGGGCAGGAAGGAAGAGGAGAGATGTGCACCACCATGACACTGATAGAAGAAGCTTCTATGTGAGAACTGATGAGATACGGAGAAGACGTGACGACACTCAGAGACACACAAACACTCTGCTGCACAGTTTCAGCTCTGGTTTGCACAGTGACGGCCTTGCAGTGGCCTACATATTACATTCCTCCGATTTCATGAAGTAATCATAACCAGGGCAGGAACAAGCCTGTCCAAATGTCCTCATAGCCACATGTGGAATACATTAGCATCCGCTTGTGTGTGTGTGTGTGTGTGTGTGCGTGCATGAGTGTGTGCGCAGGTCAGACAGAGCCAGGGGAGAGGAGCAGGAGAAAGGAAAAGAGAGGGAGGAGAATCTGGGTCACACTTGATCTGAACCACCTTTGAAACGGAGGAGGAAGTGTGACCGACCAGTAAGAAACCAGTGCGAGGGGAGTGGGAAGCGCGGCCGACCAATGAGGCCGCGATGTGGAAGGAGACGGGTGGGCTCACGGAAGTGTGTCAGTTACATAATGAAGCCCCTCCCTGAGAGGGGACGAGGGGCCGGCTGCACAACAACTGTCTTCAGCCACGCTGGTGCTGATGGGAACCAGGAGTCCCAAAAATAAATAGAGTAAAAAAAACAAAACAAAGGAAAACAACACACACATTAAAAACTCGTCTGTCTAATAATGATATAGTTGTTTGTGACGGGGGGGGCACACACAGTCTCATGTCTCGATTCTCACACACATGAAAAGAGCAAACTGTTTCTGTTCACGACTCCCGCTCCCTGTCTAACTCAGAGGAGACTCCATTTTAAACAGCGACACACTGGCCTCTAACAGCTGACCCACATCTGCAGCTGCTGGTCGCCGCGCTGCAGACGGCTAATATTCACAAAAAGGAAAAGATATTTGGAGCATGTCTAACTTTTTTTTTTTTTCCCTCCAGATCTTTGGGTGTGTATGAGGATGTAATGGAGTGCAGATGTGAGATCACGCTGCAGGTCGGCCCACTGTGAACCTCTGGCTCCACCTACAGGTGGATGGACAGAACTGCAACAGAAAAGATGGACGGAGCTTTTTTTGCTTTTTATATAACGTCAGACTCGGAGGTCTGTCTGCTCGTATCCAGGGCGCTGCGCTTTCCCAACACTGACTGAAATGACAATGTGCAGCCTAAATACAGATGTTATTGAGACAACAGATGTTAAAGTTAGAGGAACTAATGGAGCCCGAGCACAGTCAGCAGTCAGATCAGCACAGCAGAAACACAGGCTCTCTCTAAATGTACCAACGAGCTTAAAATACACTGAACAAGAGCTGCGGGCTGAACAGGCTGTGGTTGTGGTTGTCTGTTAAAACCAGTTTCATCATGGAGCTGGGGCTTCATCACACCAGTTGGTATAGTATAGAAATCCACGTCAAACTTAGGACAAGGCGTCTTGATTCATCTAATACTCTCGCTTTGTTTTGAACTGGTTAGGAAGCTGACAACAAAACCTACCTCTGTTTTCTAATGTTAATAAACTAAACTAATAAAGCAGGAGTTTCTGAGGCGTCTGTGTCTGACCAGTAAGTACAAGTCAAACCCTGCAAACCCTGCAAACCCTGCAAACCCCACCCCTCTAGTTCCTGAACTATCATTAAGTACTTTATTTTTACAACTGGAGCCCTCACACAGAAACTCAACATAGTCGCTGGTTCCTTTGGGTGAAACACAGGTTTTAGTGGAAATGTGATGTAATACTACAACTACAGCAGCAGCAGCGTAGCAGTGATACACAGCCCAGCTCCTGCTTTTAAAACACACATCACTGCATGTTTGTCTCAGTGCGTGTTCGGCTCTAATGTGCCGACTATTTAAAACAGAGCTCTCCTTGATTCTGTTAGCAGCATGTTGAGCGACTACAGGTCTCTGTCAGTGAGCAGCGACTTGCCTGAGGAAGACCTGTGGTTGGTGTAAATGTTGTGTGCAAGTGCACGCGACTCCTGTCGATTATTATGAACTGATCAGTTGTTTAAATCGACAAAATGTCAGAAAATAACGAAGAAAGTCGATCATTTACCAGAACCCATGACAACATCTAAAAACATTCACTTTACAATCTTATAAAACAGAGAAAAGCTTAAAAATCATCACATTTTTGCTTAATAAATGACTTTGTTTACTGGATGAGCTGCAATGATGAACCTGTCTGTCTACCTCAGTCCACAGCTGCAGGAGGGCTTCACCTCGCCGCCATGAGGGGAGCGGACAGAGTGTTTATAGACACTCATTTATTATAAACTCATCTGTCTCCCCTGTTCCGGGAACGTAGAGATAGTGGGAGTGCATGCCTTTGTGTGTGTGTGTGTGTGTGTGTGTGTGTGTGTGTGTGTGTGTGTGTGTTGAGTCATACAGAGATTGTGGTGTGGCAGGACTGAGTGTGAGACACAAGAACAGAAACAAAAAAAAAAAAACAGAAGAAAGAGACAAAGACACATCAGGAGAAGGAAGGGAGAGATGTGTTCGTGTGGTCTGTGTGTGAGAAAAGGACTGTAGGAGTGTGTTTATGTGTGTTTATGTTTGTGTGTGTATGTGTGTGTGTGTGAGCGGTTCTGAAAAATAAAGGAGATTTTCAACTGGAATCCATGTGATCGCACTGGCAGACACAAAGCAACGCCTCCCCCTGCATTCCTCAGACAGAGGGAGGTGGCCCAGAGATAAACAGAGCAGGAGACAGGGGTGGCGACCTCGCCAGATGGAACCGTTTCATCATCAAAAACTGTTCATCAATCTTTCCTCTCTGGCTTATTCTGATCTCCGTCTCTCGTCCGGGCGGCACTGAGGTGATTGATGCTGAAGTGGCCGCTGCACGCGGAGCTTTTTACGTTCTACTGTCGCGACGGACTGAATTATTCATGACGTCCCCCTCAATAAATCACAACCCGATCTCTGTAACTTAAGTCTGACAAACAGCCACATGTGATTACGTCAGAGCCTCAGTGTCAAGCTGCATTTGACTGTGAACATGTTCCTTTTAAGTGACGACCTGCAGAGGAAGGAGAGCAGCAGCTTCCCAGAACCAACAAGCTGTTTAATAAACTACAGACAAAGAGAGTTGGACTGACCTTGCGGCATCGCGGGTTGGGACAGCTAAACAGAGACATGTCTTTGTCCAACAAGGCCGGGAAGTTGCAAAACGGACACCTGCAATGGTCCGGAGAGGAAGGAGGGTTAAGGAGTGAAGGTGAGAGGAAATGAATGATGCAGCTGTGCATGAGACACGGAAAAAAACAGACAGACAGAAAGATCCCACTGTGAGAAAACAAAGAGCCATTACATCTGGTCCCTGATGGAGCGGGCGACCCCCGACACACCGTGAATCCACCTGCATCCATTCTGTAAGTTCAAATTGTACTGCTACTGGTCCAAGAGGTTTGAGTCAGACTAAGAGTTTGCAAAGGATCATTTCCATCATCGATTTATCTGCTGAATAATATTGAGAATATTTAAAAACCACTCAAACTTTTGAACGGAGCTAAATCACGTGTAGCAGTTCTGACAGAAAACGAAGGCGCGAACACCGACGCACTCATCCATCACTTACCGCACGAGCTCATCGGCACAGGTGGCAGCGACCGCCTCCTCCGCCTGCCTCTCGTAATATTTACACAGTATGTTTTCTGGTAGGACCTTCTCCAGCTCACACACCGGGTAGGAGCACGGGCAGCCCCCCTCCATGCAGCTCAGCTCCGACTGCAACAGGAACACACACACACATTAACACACACACACACAAATAACCAGAAATGCTTCTAATGTAATGTAATCTCGTCTAACGCTGCCTTGAAATACAGCAGGAGCAGAGAGAGAGGATTTATTACGTGACTGTTTTATTGGATTACATTAAATTAAACCGGCGTTTATAAAACTGACAACTGTGTATTTTACATGGCTACGTGCAGGGTCTGTCATGCATTTAAAGCCTTGATTTTATTGCATGTTTTATTACAAATTGTGTGTACTTTATACTACCGCTGGCCTGGTTTCATGACGCAGTGTTACACGCCGATGAATGTGATTCCTCTCATTTCACTGCAGTATGAAAATCATCCTGCAGAGACGTGTATCGGGCCTGTACTGACAGGTCGACAGACGCTACGTCCACTGCAAGTTTCAAGGCAGTAAATCACATTCATTCATGTAATAGGAAAAAACACCAACTTTGGAAAATGATACCAATATATATATATATAAGTGCTTATAACAGCAGGAAATCAGGTTTAACCAACGATTTGATGATATGACTCAATACTTGAATTTTTAACTACAAAATAAGTATTTATCACATCGTTGTTTTAAATCTCTTATTACATTAAGTCATCATCCTGTTTTTTATTAAATTAATTATTTTAGACTCATTTTTACTGAACATCATTGTCACCCCCCCACCCCACCCCCCCATGTTGTAAAACCTTTAAACTTCTTTTTTTAATCATTCATTTTTTATTGTTGAATGTTTAGTGTTTTATTTGTAACTGTGTGTGTGTGTGTTAATGTGTGTGTGTGTGTGTGTGTGTGTGTGTGTGTGTGTACCTTCCCGGAGCCAAACACTGCCTCCTGAGCGTATTTGACCAGGCACTCTTTACAGAACAGGTGACCGTCCGAACACTGCGTCATCTTCTCAAACGCAAACTCCCCGTAGCAGCAGCCGCACTCGATCAGCTGACCGTCCTGGAGAGAGAACGATCAACAGTGTTTTAATGTCGCTCTCTCGATTACATTCAGCCCTTTGACTTACTACTCAGCATAACTACAGGAGCTATTTATTATAGATATCATTTATTGGAGCCCTCATGAGTTCTTATATACACAGTAAATTCAGTGGCAACCACGTAACCGACTAGAAAACACAACACACCAACAGCCTCTATGTTTTTAGCATTTGGTAATAAACTGTAAATTTTCTTTCATCAAAAACAAGGTCGTGTTTTGAGTTGAACGTATCATGTCATTTTACACCACGACACTCGTGTCGTTACATTTTCTTACAAGTTCAATTGAGAAGCCATTTATAGAAAAAAGTTTGACCGAATGAGGAAACTAGGACGCGAGTTTTCTCAGCATGAACATGAACCTACAGTCTGAACCACCGCGGAGGTCCTATCAGTTTGGACGAGGTGTGTGTGTGTGTGTGTGTGTGTGTGTGTGTGGAGCGCTTCCTACCTTCTTATATTCATCCTCATTGACCTGCAGAGCCAGGAGGAAGTCCTCATGCTGCAGGGAGAGAGAGAGAGAGAGAGAGAGAGGCAGGTTTTATCAATCATCTCCTCTGACAGGAAGAAAGCCTCACTGCGACGTCTACATTGAAGAGGCAAACTAATCCATTCCTCTTCATTTGATCAGCTGCTACAGCTCAGACACTCAGACTGACCCATATTAAAAACACAGTGAGAAGAAAGAGCTGATGATACGACAGCGGGTGAGGAACATTATCAGATGAATTAGCATTCAGGAGGAAGGTCTGATCTTGCAGTGATCATGAGATTTACATTGAAGAAACTAAAGAGATGACCACAGACCTGAGGGGACCTGGCAGAGCAGCGTTTATAGAATCTTTAATTTAGCTTTTTAAAAGTAGATTTTTTTTTTGTGGATTATATTTTACAGCTGAAACGAATGAGAAAACAGTTAAAGTGAATCTAACATTAACGGCCGTTCCCTCCAGTCGCTCTCCTCAGTTCATAAAGCAAAAGGCTCTGAATGTTGTGAGAGATGAGCTCCCCTCTTTGAGCTAATGCTCTCTGAGAGGATTTTGTTTTCAGCTCATTTCGTGTATTTTAATATGTTTAGTTTATCTTTTACATTAATGCTATACGGAGGTTTTATTAACATGCTGTGTCGAATGTTTCCACACCATGAAACTACCAGGGCAAGTTTGTATTGGCAATAAAATGAACTCAAGCCAAGTGTACAAACAGTATATGTATTATGATGGTGGAAAAAAAACACTGTAATGCTGGTGGATCAACTCACAACAACAAAATGAAAGAAATAGATTATGAAGTTGCAGAATGTCTGTCGCTGTGTAACTAGTGTGTGTGTGTGTGTGTGTGTGTGTGTGTGTGTGTGTGTGTGTGTGTGTGTGTGTGTGTGTGTGTGTGTGTGTGTGTACAGTACCTCTGCCCATTCCTTTGCTTTCTGCTGATAGAACGACAGCTCCTTCTGCACAGAAGCTTCCAGGTTGCTGTACGTCCTGCAGTAGCGACGGTCATTCTCCAGGAAATACATCCTCTTGTCCAGCTTCGTTGAACCTGGTGACAGAGCGAGTGAGAGCCGCATCACATTCAATCCTACATTCATAATTTGAACTGCAGCAACAGCTCAGTCAAAGACCCAGGGCAAATTAAACGCAGGTTTAAAGTAAACTAAAACAACACTGAACAAAATGGCTTCCCCTGAATGTTTAAAATGTTTTCTAACTTGATTTGAAGTATTAAATGCATCAGCATGTATTCGTACGACATAATGCACCTGCAGGTGGGCGATGTGTGTGCAGCAGTGTGCACGGAGTGAGAGAAAACGTTTGCTCACCATGCTCAAAATGGAAATCAACGTAGCAGCGCTCAGAGGAGGCTCTGCTCCGTCGTCTCTTTCCTGAGGGGTCGCCTGAATCTTGCCACTTCTTCAGAGCTTCACATAAGGCCTGGGACAGCAGGGGGGAGAGAAAGACAGTGAGGGGTTGTCGAAGAAGCAGCTGGAAAAGAGAGCAAGAAGGTAGAGAAAGGATAATTGTAGCTGCATTTCAACGCAGTACGAGGCCACAGGTACCTTGCGTGTGATTGCATAGTGTCCCTTCAGAGCATTGAGGGCCCATTTGATGTCCTGACAGCTGAGCATCCTGAAATCTGCCATGAGCAAGTCGGCAGCCTGCATCACAGCCTCTGGTCCCACCGTGCCCAGCTTGGTGTAGTCGAACAGGTCCTCGGTCACCTGAAAAGACACATTACAGAGGCATAAACACAGACACCCAGACCTCCAGGTATCTGATTCAGAAACACACACAGAGCTGTCATCAAAAGGACGATGTCTCACTCTGATTTTGACATGAGGCTTTTTCCTGACTGTCGAGTGGGCGGGGGAGCAGCTGAATAATCAGGCTTTAAGGACGGTCTGTTTCTGCACTTCTGCTGTTTTGTATAAACAAGTCGGAGAGCCTGAGGTGGGATTTTTATTTCTTACTGTTCGCTTTCATACAGTGTGTGTGTGTGTGTAACTTTACACTCACTGTCTCCTTTCTGTTCCACCTATATAACATAGTCTTCCTCTCCGTATGTTTATCATCCGTTTACAGTTCAAGCCCGTTCCTCAACAAACTGCAGCGCTGTTCAACGCAAGTACAGAGTCATGATCTGGTGACTGATACCAAGAAAAGCTCCATTAGAAAATACATCTGTCTGCGAAGCTCGTTTGACATAATAACATAATGAGGACCAGGCTCTCCTTCATTATTTTCAATAATGTAACTGCTTATTGTGCAGGCGAGGATGTCAAACCTCACACTGAACCACACTGCTATATCCTTGCTTAACTAAACCACCGTTTAGCATCTAAACTAAACACTTCCCTTTCACAGAAGAACTGCATTTTGTTGTTATCAGTAGCACTTTGACAGGTTTTGTGCTCCTGTGGGTCTGATGAAGGAACGCACCTCTGTCTGGGTGTCTCCGGACTCCAGTAGGATGCTGGTGGGAGCTGCTGCAGCTGCTGCAGCCTCTCTCCTTGGATACTCTGGGTTTTCCAACAGCAGGTTACAGATACTGGAAACACACAGAGATGCAGGTAAACGGGCTTGCATAGACACACACACACACACACACAAAATATTTAAGTGCTGGGAATCCCCTGGAATTTTTACAAAAGGTTTCACTTCAAAATATATTTGCAGGTATATTCACCCACAGTCTTTCATTATCTGTCAACCTACACAAACGAAGTCAAGCACACTCTTCTCTATAGCATCTGTTTCAATGAAATGCACAGCTGGTTCATTTCTCTGCTATTGGTGACAAAAAATGATTCAGCCTCTAAACACCAGGAACTTCTGACAGACAAGAGACGTCTAAGCTACAATAGATAAATAATTTAAGTTTGACAGTTAATTACCTGAATAAATGAAGGTACAAAACAACAACTCCAAAACCGCATAAAAAAAACAAAGGATGCAGCTGCAAATCTGGAAAACCCGTCATATGCTAAACCGTCACATGAAGTTCAAACTGCAAACAACTCCATCTGACGCTATACAAATGATGCATTTCAACTAGGACCAGAACTAATGATTATCTTCATTTATTAATCAGTCTGCCAGTGATGCTCTCAAATAATTTATTCATCTTTTTGTCTATAAACTGACAGATATTTCATAAAAGCTGAATAATTAAATGTTGGTTAATTAAAAAAATGTGACATATTTAAAAGACTTGTTTTGTTTGACCTAAGGTCCAAAACTCAAAAAGATTCGGTTTACTATCAGGGGAGTCGGAAAAGTAGAACATTTCCACATTTTAGCAGGTGAAATCACTGCATTTGAATAATAATAATAATAATAATGATAATAATAATAATAAACTTTATTTGTATGGCACCTTTCATAGAAGAAATGTAGCACAACGTGCTGAATTTTAAGTATCGTTTGCTAAAAAAGGTAGAAAATGATTTGTGAATTATAAGACAATTACCAACAATAAAGTAACAGTCAGGTCAAATCTAACAATTTCCATTTAAGGTCATTCAAAAACAAAAACATTAAGTACCAATGAGAGCAGTTAAGAGATATACAGGACATAAAGTCAATCAAGTAACAGAAGCAGTTCTATTTCCCCAAACTAGACAGGTGTTGGATAATTCACCAGGTCTTATCCTAACCCTACATGAGTCACTGGAGAAAAAGGGGTAGGTGTTTCTTACACATTCAAGTCTTTCACATTATTCTTTTGGATCAGTTCTGCTACATAGGTTTCCTGGACATCTGGGAATAGATCCAGCTGTGGAGAACACACGCAGAGTTCAAGGGACAGAGACAGAAGAGGGTGAGAGACACAGTTACTCCACAATTAAAGATATTTAACTTGATATCAACCGACTTATGTGAGTCTCTCTGTTGAAGTGTACAGTCCAGTACATGCTTCCTGTATGTGGTACTTACAACGACAGTGATGAGGGGTCTGATGTGGGGATGCTGCTCTGCTCTCTCTCGCGGTGCAGACGGTCCGGGCCTCGCATCCTCTATTCGTGGAATGTCCTCAGGTGCCGGAGGGACCGCAACCAGACCAGGGGCTGGATTGACCCGTTCTGGGTTTGGGGCCATAATGAGACGAACCTCTCCTCCATTTGGAGGGACAGGGGCTGCGGGCGCTGGGGGAACAGCAGGGTTAGAGTTCACATTGGGCACCCTGATGTTGAGGCCGCGGGCTGGTGGACCCACACTGGCACCAGCTTGTGGTGGAGGATTGGGAACAGCGTCCCCAGGCGCCTGGCTCCCCAGGATGATCCGGTGACCTGCCTCTGGGGGTCCTAGTCTCTCTGGGGCTGCAGCTATTAGCACTGCAGGGGGGATCACCGGTATCACCTGAGGGGCTTGTGCTGCCTGGACTGGATTCTGGGCCGGGGCCTGGGCCAGGGGTTGAGGCTCAATCTGAATGAGGTTGCCTTGCATTCGATTGAGCGGCACAGGCTGCAGCAGGTTCTGCGTCCTGAGCTGCAGCTGGGGCTGGGTGATTAGCGCAGAGGCGTGGATGCTGGGCTGTTGTGGAAGAACAACTAGCTTCACCTCGTTCACCTGGACGAGGTGGGGCTGTACGGTTGCAGTCTGTGTTGATGTACCGGGCTGAGGCTGCGTCCGTGTGTGAGACTGTGACTGTGCAGATGAAGTACTAGCCTGAGGATTGTCTTGTGAATGAGTACTTGTACTCGCCTGCTCTTGAGTCTTTGTAGAAGAACTGGATGCAGTAACTGAAGCTGCACAAGAATTATGTGTGGCACTGGCAGAGGTACTCGCCTGGGCCTCCACCGGTGTTTGTGCTGAAGAGCCAGCTTGTGGCTGCGCGAGTCCAGATGTGCTGGGCTGAGGCTGAATACATACTCGTATAGGTGCTCTGGATGAGATGGTGTTAGCCTTGGCATTAGTGGAGGTAGACGGGGTTTGGACAGAGGAAACTGCATGGAGCTCCACGTTTGTATGTGCTGATGTGCCGTCCTGTTGCTGTGGTATTGTGTTAACTTTTGGCTGAGACAGTGTGTATGAAGAAGAGCCAGGTTGTGGCTGTGTGTGTCCAAAAGTGCTAGACTGCACTGGTGTCTGTGTTCGTATGGCTGGCCTTATTGTGGACGAGTTAGCGTTGGCATCTCTGGAGGTAGAGGGGGCAGAACTGGGGTCGCCTGTGGGAAACCCAGACGTTGCACTACTGTGACTTACAACTTGGATTAGGTTGTGCGAGGCCCCACTCCATTTTGCTGCTGGCCGAATCACGTGTCTGCGTGCAGGAGTCAGTGGCTGCAGGAGAACACAGGAGGCAATGAATGGAATCAAAGATGCTACTTCTGTTGTAACGTCTGCAGCTCATGTTATTGAAATCAATTTCTGTACAGTATAACAGTATAAAAAAACTATTTAAAAAACACACGTTTACACTTTTCTGGTGATTTAAATAACAGTGTTTATCAGTCACCTCCAGAATGCTGATGTCGTCATCATCTGCATCATCTGGGACTAAAACAGGACTGCCAGGCACCAGAGTCACCGGCTCCTCGTCCGAGTCATCAGAGATGGTGATGAGCTCCCTCTGACGGGCACGGGACCCTACACAGGCACATGACACAGTTCACATCAGCAGTTTCAGAACAGCGCATGTGAATGGAGAAGTGAGAAAAGTATTATTATAAATATGTGTCATCTGTGGATGTTCATGTCGTCGAGGGAAGAAGTGTGCGAAAGAGAAAAGAAAAATCAAGAAGAAAACCATGGTGGAGGTATTTGTGTTTATCTTTGTTATTATTGTATTTATTGTTTGTGGGTCACAATGATGTGTTTTTAACCAGCATGTGGAGCCAAAAGCAAATTTCCACATTTGTGGACAATAAAGATTATTATTATCAAAGATTATTACATTATTATTATTATTATTATTATTATTATTATAGCAGATTAATCCCAGTGAGGAAACCCGTCCTCTACATTTGACCCATCCCGGAGATTTAGAAACAACAGACAGTTCCAGGGACCGGCTCCAGAGCTGAGGCCAGTGTCTTGGTGAAGGGGCAGAAACAAAGGGCAATTGTGTTACAAAAATCTCACGCCTTACTGTGTGTATGTATGCGATAAGTCAAAAACAAGACCCACAGAGCAGTGGGGTGGTACAGAAACTACACATTTTGCAATTTGAATCAACTGTGTTTTGGATTTTGGACCTATTCCAAATAAACTTTGCAAATATAATGCATTGTTGCATTTCTGGTTGCATCAATATAGAAATCCAAAAGTGCTAAAATCATTATTTGTCATGCACAAGCTACAACATGTTCAGTTTACAACAAATGGCTCTATCAGTCACAGATATTTCTCAATTTTTTTTTTCCAGTACATTCATCAAAAATGTCTCTGTGCAAACTTTATTTTCAGTTGTCAGACTGTCACTTTGTTCCTCTCAACAAACCACTGTGTGTGATGTCAATGAATTTTGTGATATAAGGTAATTGTGAGTGACGGGCATTTTACTTATCCACATGATTAAAGGTGATATTTCATATGTCAATGCCAGTGCCAATGTCTCTTGAGGTAAATACTTAAAGCTTAAATGGTGATTGTGACATTTTACATATACAATTTGAAATAAGAGATGTTGCAATGTAAAGTAGGCTAGGTTACCATGGACAACAATACACTACAACACACTGAACCTAACCTGAGGTTTATAGAAGATGCTGAGAGGTTTATTAAAAATGTTTTACAGTTGAGTTTCACTTCTCATTGACTAGAACTTAAATTATGGAGCTTTTTTTAAGCATAACTAGACAAATATGTCATTTAGGATAACATCACAAATTGTAACATATTTATCTCTATGTCTGTGATGTAAAACAAAAGCACGACATTGATGATAATATTTTTGTTATATTTCTTTGCATCCCTAATGTTGCATGTCAAACAGCAACAGTGTTTGACATTAGAAACTACAACCTTGAAACTGTCAGAACTGATATATACACACACCAAGAGCCAGGGTTAGGGAGTTTTTGAACATTTCTGGGGCAAATGTGACAAGAAAAGCGAGTCAGCCTCATCTAAAAACTACAGTGGCATGTGCATTATGTAGAAAGATGTCGTGCCGCTAAATAAAACTACTAGTGCCTATTCTAGTGCCAGTCACAACCTCAGACTACCTACAGTACATCGCTGTTGATAATTAAACTGAAAGATGGACAGTGATTACAGACTGAGCTGGATACATCCATGTAAGTGAGGATATGAAGGTGTGCCTCACCTTGGCTGCGGTGGACGTTGAAACTTGCCAGGTGAATTACATCGTCGTCACTGCCTCCATCTGCCATTGTGAAACTACACTTGCCAGCTCCCTATACCTGCCCACACACTCAGTCACTGCTCAATCAGTACCATCTACTCCACACACACACACACACACACACACACACACACACACACACACACACACACACACACACTATATCAAAGTCCTGGTAATCCCCTGGAATTCAAACAAATGTTTCACTAAAACCTTGTATAAAGTCATAGCATTTATCAAACTCTGAAGGGTTAGACTCCACCCTACTACCATTATTAATATGATCTCACACACATAGCACAGCGACTCCTCAGTGTTGCTGCCATGTCAGCAAAGGAGAACTTAACAAAAAGGAAGCATTGAGCTAAAGCAGAAATGTAAAGCTTGTGGAGGAGGGTGAGGGAAAAGGATTTGTGTCACTTTAACAATAACATTAGCTAGCTAGCTGAAAGTTGATTTGATGTGTTGGCCAACCTAACCCCACAGGATATTTTGGAACACTCTCTTTATTAGCTTTACTAGCTAACACAACCATAGTCCCCCTAAATCAAATCAAACTAGGCATCAGATTAAACCTTACATCTTATGAAACAGTAACGTTATAGACGCTAACGTTACGAGAAGCTGGCACTGTTGAAATTGTGAATGTGAATTTGTGTTCATCATCGTCTTGACATTAGCCTAAACACTGTAACATTAGCTGGAAGTTTAAGATGCTGTGGTGAAAAATAAAACATGTCAGAGCAACAATCGATCATTTCCGCGCACACACAGAACAAACCACTGCTCCCAGCTAAGCTAATGTTAATTAGCTTGGCTGGCTAGCTAGCCTGTGGGGTAACTAGTTAGCTCACTTCTGTCACGATTTCTGTCCATAACACTGCTTCAAACCAAACATACACAGTCTAAGACCCATGTATGAAAAATACACAAGCAGAAATGTACAATACCGCAGCTTCTTGTTGATTAACCAGTCCAAAACGCCTTCTTGGTGGACTGACAATCCGTGTATATCGAAACAAACTGCCAAAACAAGAACAGTAGCGACGTCACGCGTACAGTGCCTGTCGCTGCGTAAGCCTCTGGCCTTCTGGGAACTGTAGTCTGAAGGGAGAAGGTGTCTTCGGAATTGTAGTTAGGGCTCCTCTAAGTTAATTGTTCCATACATACATAAATAAATAAATAAATAAATAAATAAATAAATAAATAAATAAATAATCATTAAAAAAAAAAGAAAGAAAATTATATAGTATGATATAATTATATATTTAAAATGTCAAAATCATAAAGGGATAAATCATCACCAGTATTTTGAAATGACAAAGCTCTATATAAGATTTTAAAGTAAATCAATCAAAACCCCTGATAATATGAAGACACTATAGATAGATAGATAGATAGATAGATAGATAGATAGATAGATAGATAGATAGATAGATAGATAGATAGATTCTTTATTGTTATTGCATATCAAGACATAACAAGACTTAATTACCATCCATGTAAATCAAACATCAATACATTCATGTTTATTAGAATCATTTTGCTATATAGAGCAAATATGTATTGATTCTAGAGCTGCAACAATCAGTTGATTAACTATTTTGATAATCATTTGACATTTCTTTTGTCTTATGTGATAATAAACAAAATTAAACAACAGTTGGCTGGACAAAAGCAATTTCAAGAACTCACCCTCGGTTTTAGGAAATGGTGATGGTTATTTCTTCCCTATTGTTAACATTAAAAATAAATCATTTTCGATATTTTGTGGTCAAAATGATTAATCGAGTAAATAAACAAAGATTCATTGAAAATGATTATTCGTTGCAGCCCTAGTTAATTAATTTGGATATTTCCATGTTCACACTCAACTACCCACCAACACACAGAAAGAATGAAAAGAATGCACGTAACACAAGGCATGTATTTTCAATTTAATTTCTTTTAATATAATCTTATTTACATTGTATTTTTTCATAAATGTTTAGTACATAGTAAGTTACAATACTCTTGCATCCATTACACAGTGAACTCAGAACCTAGAAAATGCAGATTGAAATGATACTGCTTAACAGTCTCCAATCTACAACAGATCCCGACGTTTTCCACGTTACTCGCTCAACATTTAGGTTTTTGATTTCATTCACTTCTATGGAAAATTAATGACTGTAAAGAGACTTTGTTCATTCATGGTGGTCTTGAGGAGAATGACTACTTTTTCTAACTTTCAGGCTATTGACAAAAAGAGACAGGCAGAGAAACATCAGGGCCACAGAGAAATAAAAAGAAGTTGGTGAGATGGATGATGAAACATGTATGAAAGGCTTTTGAGATTTTATTATACATGTCACATACAACCGAAGAATTCCTGAAGCTGACTCCTTCTTTCCATCCGTCGTGGCTCATTTTGAAAAAAAAAAAAAAAAAAATATCCAGGACGTGTCCTCGGTCCTCTCCGTAACGTCAGTAGAGTTAGATTTTAAAATTAGGCCTGGGAAAGTCAATCCCTTTCACTTCAATAAATGTAACATGGCATTCAAAACACCAACACACCAACAGTTTCCATACACTGACAAGAGTATTTCACTGCAATAATATGAATGTTAAAAAAATGTAACGAAATTCAATAAAACCCACTTTGTGGATTACTTGAAATTGCAAGTGAACTGACCCTTCAACTCTGGTAGAGGGGGCGATGAAGAGATTAGTGTCGGCTCTTTGTAGAGCATATAGCAGCTTGGTCGGTAATCACTTAGTAATAAATAATAAAATATCAGAGTGGATCAGAGTGGTCGCAGATACAAACGGAAGAGACAAAGAGTTACCAAACAGAGGAGCAGGCTCATTTGATCATTTTTTACAGCGTAACTGGGTGCCATGCCTGACACACACACACACTCTCTCTCTCTCTCACACACACACACACATTCTCACTCTCTCACATACACACACACACAATGTCCCGCTCTCACCCTCTGACATGCGCACACACACACACATTCTGATACACGACAGTGGTTAAACATGAAGCATGAATACTAGTCAGTCAATCAGCTTGTCAGACAGAAAGACAATCAGTCCCCGCCTTGTTCTTCACACATCTGACTTCAACGTCTCTGTTCGCAGGCTCATATGCGATTGGCTGATTGTGTCCGGACACTCGAGCACGACCGTCTTGAGTCTTGTGGCGGTTAGACATTCTGAAGAATGACATCATAGCTTGTTAAAACTGAAGGATAAAAATGCTTCTTCAAAACATCTGAAAAATTTTTAAAATACTTTTCTTTTTTTGTTTTGTTTGTTTGTTTTTTCTTTCTTTCTTTCTTTCCCCTCCTGCTGTGCTTCCTCCTTTAACCCCCAACAGTTCGGTGGTGAAGAGGTGGCAAGAGGCCGTGTGTGTGTGTGTTCTCGTGATGCTTGGCTGCTCTGTATACTCTGTGTATACTTGATATTCTGTCGAGGCGTGTGTATGTGTAAAATGTCAAATAGTTGGTGTGCAAGCACAAGTGTGACTGTGTGTATGTTGGTTTTTTTGGTTGCGGATTCATCACTCCACAGCGAAGCCGCAGGTCTCCTCCACAGCCGTCAGCAGTTTCTCATAAAGTTTCTCGTAAGACTCGTAGGGAGGGATGTCTATCCTGTTGAAACTGAAGACACAGAGGAACGATCAGTGACTGACACAAATGTAAATATCAGAGGAGCATTTTTGTCTCTTGAGCGTCCTCACCATGTGTGAGCCTTGGGCAGGTTGTCTGTGTTGGCGTCTATCAAATGGATGGTAAAGAGCCTTGGTCCTGCAGAACCTGTAGAGCCTTACACACATACATTCTAGTTATCACTGCTCTACTCTGGTTCACAGAGCATGACTCAGGATTTAAACATTTACATTTCTCATCAAATCTCAAGTTCAGCAAACGATTAGTCGACAATGGTAGAATCATTTTTCACTGGTCTGCAGATGTATTTTAAGAAACTGCAGCTGTGTGTGTGTGTGTGTGTGTGTGTGCGTGTGTGTTCGCATCAGAGTTTCAGCGTTTTGTTCATGCTGGGCAAGAAACCACCTGTCACAACACTCACATGCCTCTCCACTGATCTTATACAAAACACAACAGGACTCTACACAAATGAGTATCTGAAACCATCAAAGGAAACTTGTGATATTTTCTTAATTTGGAGCCTTTGCCGACACAGTCGAACATTTGAACTGAATTGTTTTATACAGACTTTTATGTAAGTTTTCTAAAGGTAAAGTGCAGGATGTGAGTGTGAAGAACAACATACACATTAAATCAGGATTCATTATCTGCATGTGATCAAAGATAACTGACTTGAATTTGGATTTGGGGTAAAAACACTAACGTGGACATCGCTAACAGCAAGAAATCTCCTAATGAATCTACAGCTACAACAACTGATCATTAATGAATCAGTCGAACAACAGAAATTAAATTTGCTGTTGCTGTCCAGGCCCTTGACATTTTACTGCTTTTACAGCATTTTTATTTATATTGCTTTTACTATTTGCATGCATGTGTTTGTGTTTGTGTGTGTGTGTGTGTGTGTGTGTGTGTGTGTGTGTGTGTGTGTCTCTATACAGCAACTGCTCCTTCTAACTGTCCTTATTTATATTGAAGCGTATTGTTTGTCTTCCCTCTGTAACTCTCCCGTACGTCTGTCCTGCTTTTGATTCGTTTGTCAGAGCACTTTGTAAACTCTGTTTTTAAAAGGTTCTACATAAATGAAGTTATTATTATCATCATCATTCTTGTTAGGATGTGCACACGCTAATAAAATGTCCTCAAACACGTAACATAGTTATTCACAAACATACTAAACAGGGATTGTTTTGACATTTTCTTTAGCTAATACGCTGCTAATCTGCACGAATGGTTTTGTATAATCATCTTCATGGAGGCAGATAAATTGAATGTGAAGAGCAGATGTTAAAATCAAATAACTGATGTGTGTAGAGTTCGTTTGTGTGTGTGTGTGTGTGTGTGTGGGTGTGTGTGTGTGTGTGTGTGTGTGTGTGTGTGTGTGTGGCGTCTGAGCCAGTCCATGACCCACCCTGCAGCGCCTTGAAACCCTGTAGTGGGACCCTGGTGGAGCCTGTGACAAACTGCAGCAGGCGTCCTCTCCTTTCCTCGCTGAAGGCCTCCACCGCCTGCCAGAACCACCGCACCACGTTGCTTTCACTTGTGCAATGCTTCAGGCGGGTGTTTGTCTTCCAGTCTGCAAGGTCGATCTTCCCCAGTCCGCCGATGATCAACTGGACGAGGGGGAGAGGAGCAGATTCAGCCGACAGAAACACAAAAAACCAAGAATACAAAATGAAATAACACTGAGGTGGATGGTTTTTTTTATGGTTCTCCTCTTTGTGTTCCCAAAACTAGAAAAAAAAAAAAAATAGACCATATGCAAACGTTCTCAGTTCAGACAGAACACGTACCTCAAGTTCTTTATGGTCAAAAGGTTTGAGGAGGTGCTGGGGGATGAGCTCACTGAATCCCTTCTGCAGAGCCAGAAACTGGGCTTCAATTCCTCTCATAAACCTCCAGTTCACATAAAGTCTGAAAGAAAACACAAACACAAACGATGCAGGTCAAATAAATACACTGTAATAAACTTAAACCGTTAACTCTCTGCATCTGCGGCACGGCTTGGACAATAATACCCACAAGAAAAGATGGAACATAATCGTCTCGTTGCTTTTACCTCACGTATTCTTTCTTGTTCTCCTCAGTGACGGGGATATTACGCCCGTTAGGTTTGAGTTCGTGTTGTAAAAACTTTCCAAAGGCGTTGTGCTCCACGCAGAACGTGTGGTCGAGGACTGAAGTGATGTCGTTCTCTCTGCGTGAAGAGAGTTAGAGTGAGTAACACTGACACAGAGAGGTGTTGATGATAAAAAGAAAGCTCTGAGGGATTGGACTGGTTCTCACAGTATCCAGACGAGGCTCTTGTGCAGCTCCGGGTCGGTGGTCTCCAGGTCGTTGAGCTGGATGGGTTTGCCTAACAGCTGTTTGTAGAAGGGC